ATGTATGGGGTAGATAAGTCATTGAGTTCCTTCTCCGTTTACTCAGATTTTGTTCATCACGATAATGATCTGATACTGGCCACAAAATGCAATTGTGCTGTTGTTCTGTACTAGTCGGACTTTGTCTTGCTGTTCTAAGACCACTTTGTTCCACTCAGTTTTCAAACCCATGCTTGGATAAAAGGTTTCTCACTCATGTCTTCTCGCATTTTTAGATGACTGATACGGAATCGTGCTGTCCCGGACATGAGATAAACTTTGGCTCGGCAAAAGTTCTGCTGCGAACTGGAGGCGAGCTAAACCCAATAAGAGAGAAACTGCAAACTCTCATAAAAACAGAATGCCTTTCATTATAAGGCAGATTGCACAGTATACTTCTAAAGATTCCGCGATTTTCCGGTCTCTTTAATAGGGCTTCACCATGCAGACTTTCTTTTCCAGAAGATTTGCTCTTCTGCAGCTTGGGTAGCATCTATTATGAGTCTCCTAGCCGACAGTTGAAATACCATTAGACGCCTGCGCATGATTGGCACAGCCCAAATAGTTTGATTATAGCCGGATTTGGTGCTTCTTTCAAACCCGGGATGTTAACTTTGACTCCGTGGAGTACGACAGGTGGCTAAACGGATATACCCAGTAAATTGTGTAAGCAATTATGTTTCTGATTCAGTTTGACAGCATGGCGGTTTCAAAAATCCCGTTTGGTAAAAGGAAGCTCCAACTTATTAGTGACAAATGAAAACTTGCTTCTGGCACTCCAGATGCTGTTTGAACACAAAGGTGGAAAGCAATTGATTCAAAAGTTTTCACGGTATCAAGCACCAACTGGATAAAACATGTGTGAAACGGGCGTGATAACCATATCTTTTGCTAGCTTCAACTGCGCTCGTTACCCTACAATGTACCTCTCCACAGTGCAACCCAAAATTAATATCTTAAAGAGACCCAGAATGTTGAAGTATGAGAGTAAAGAGAGAAAGATTATTGCGCCAAAGAGGGATACACTAAAAGCGTGAGATGTTGAAGATGGCCATCATTTCACTAAAAAGTACTTTTATTTTGTGCGCAACAGTGACTCGGAGAAGCATTCATATGCTAGCTACTGACCAGTGTACAAACGTGATTACGCTGAATAGACTACGCAATGAACTTCGTTACAGATAGGGACAAGTAAGCTCGTGAAATTCGTAAGAACCTTGAAATGTGATTTCTGTGGCGTTTTCCGTATTGAGCAATAAGCTTTGAAAACGTCCGCGTTGGTGCAAATGAAAATAAAAATGTTGTGAATGGTCTAGTCGCTTAAAAATTTCTTTGATACGAAACACTCAAGCAGGATTGACTCCCTAGAAGGAGAATTTTCCGACCCTTTGGATGAGTGGAACAGCCGTAGGAATCTGCATTCCCGTATTCACCGTAAAATTTGATGCTTAATGAGTCTCAATTAATCTCCACAGCAACAAATATAAAGTCTTCTGTCGAACTATCAGTTTTGTATCAATAATGCACGATTCTTGCTTTCTGTACAAAAGTAAATTAGCGCTGTTTGTGGGCAAATTATATTCCCAGGTCATGGTGCTAATCATTGATAGCCACGGATAATGTTGCGTCGCCGGAAAGACGGTATAGCGAAGGCCGCGATGATAACTTGTACATGCGAAACGCTGGTGCAGATATGGCCACTTGGGAAAACCAGCACCACACATTGAAACTGCTTCTAAATCTCCGAACAAACCGGATAATGCTTAAGAATAATAAAGACCCAGTCAACAAAGCACATAAATTCTGAGTTCAACTATAAGGGAAGCAACTAAAGCTGAATTCATACTGGGAAATACTGGAATTGATATCTATCGATGGACTTATTCTGATAGTTTGGCTCTTTAAAAAATTGTTTGGTCGTTTGGTTTTTACTAGTTCCACCGTGATCCTTGCTGGTTCGAGAAGCCTCGCCTTCCAAAGAGACCTATGAACCACGCCCAAGTGTATTCTATGACCGGTCAGTACTGCAATATTCCCGTATTAAGCCTGTTCGTTCCAGTCTGACATAACCAGGGGTCCTCATTTTCCACTTTGAAATATAAGCCTCTACGACATTGGAGAACTGTCCTGATGTGGCATTATTGTCTAAAATTTAGATAATTCTTGAGTGATCCATTGAGCTTTTAGGATTTACAGAAATATCCAAGTGGTAAGGCAGCATTCTCTACATAGTGTTGGATCTGAATTTGATCTTTTCTAGGAATAAAAACGATTATGTAGTAACAGAAAATTACAATGTGCAGGTAGCAAAATTTTACGAGGTGACTAACGTACTAATTGATGGATGGATAATCTCACGATAATCCTACTTGGTGAAGTCCCGAGAAGTAGCCCCTCAAAATAGTTGCTCGTGAATGCGCTTTGTTAGCTGTGAAGTTTGCAAGATGGTCCGCTCTAGATAAGCACTTGCAAGCTTGGAGGATAATGCCACATTCACCGGCATTCATGAATTTTACACAAACTCATTCAGCAGTCTTAATTCGGGTTTGTCACAGGACCCATCTGTTTCTAGTCATGACAAATTTTGATAGATAGGCCCCTAAATCGGCTGTTGCAATTCAGATGGAACGACCGAAGAGCTAAGCGCGGTTCCATTCTGAGATGCTTGCATCGCTTAGTGCTTAGTTAGACAATCTAGAAAGAAACTGACAGCACTGACGACATTGACATCGTTCAGCCACCGTTTCTTCCAAGTCCACGGCTAAGTGCAAAAGGGGTCGCAGGAATCCCATTTTGGAGGGCGGATCCCACCAACGACACACAAATTCGAGGCCTCTTTCATACCCTTCCGCTACTTTGATGGAGGCATGGAGAACAGCAGTATTCTCCGTAGATCATTTTTCGGCATCCGTACCAAACGGCTGAGTCACTGAAGATGATGGTTTTTTATGTTGTTCGAGACAGGATTTAACTGCTGAACGACTCCTTATTCATCTTCTGATCAGCTATATACGATTTCGCTGACTAATTCTGACACCAGCTATACGTCTGAGAAATCGGTGGTCAAAAACCTCAAGACGCTTTATATCATCTGTCCACAGAGTTCACTTCTGGCAACCGTGCGACGAAACAGCCGCTTAATATATTTCAAAAATGATGGCTCAGCTGCATCACTGCCGGGGTATTTCCTGCGTTGCAGCTGAAAATCAAACAGGATCTTTGCGTTCAGGGTCGATGGTTCATGTCCGAAAGTAGTCAAATTTCAGTTTGGATCCACAGAATTTTCTCAATGCAATGGCACTTGCCCAGAGGTCTGAGTTCATCAAAACAAATTTTGTTCCTAGATGACAACACTACCCTTCATTCCTGTGCGTATTCCTGGGACCGAGGAGTTTCACGACGAATGAACCTATACAGATATTTTTATTTTACCTGCAAAAATAAAATCTCATATAGATATTTTATTTCATGAGACGCTCGCTTAATTATAGCAAACCAGTTGTGCAGATGACCCTCAACGAATTAATTCTGTTCACTAGAATAAGTATTAAGAGGTAGGTAGATTGTTTTCTTCATGAAAATGAGGTTTTCTGCAGAAGGGAAACCTATGAAAGTTTTGTCCAAAGATTCGATACTGACCGACTGTTCTACAAACAAAAGTCCGTTGATTCCAGTCAAACTTATATATTCCAGAGTACTTTATCCTGATGCCGTAGAATTTGCTCACGTTAGTCACTACCGAAAGGAAAAACACGAACGCGAACAAAAATTAACAGGTAATCCACATCTTGTTAACAGCTTCCACATGTCAGCGTGTACAGCATAACTCGTAGTGAATAAAAGTTTGATCTCACAAGGGAGCAAGAGAATCATAGAGGTCTACCGTCATGAATTTGCACTACATCACATTAAATGAATTCATTCAAACTATTGTCGACCCCAAATCCAAAATCCCATAATGATAATAATAATGAGTTTTGTGGCTCTCATAGAGTCCGTTACCCAAAACTTAGATGGATATGGAGTAATTCTATCGTGCCACACAATAGGTCAAACCGGTCCAAGTCCCATGGGCTGAAACGGGTGCAGCAGAAGGTCGTTGAAGGAGTTGCTTTTATTGGAGCTGGTAAACTGTACCCAGACGGGATTCTTCTGAAAACGATTGATCTAAACAACCAAGTTTATGTCCACTTGTCATCAGGTAGCAACATTCAACCTAGGATATCCTAACCATCCTCCTCGAAATGACCACTTCGATGAACAATGAAATTTTCATGAGGACTGCAAATTTCTCTGAATTACACTCACGGGTACTTAGTTGGCATCCATGATACTAATTGATTTAAGAACTCTTAGAATGAGAGGAATCAAATTTCCTTCCCAAGTAAGATGCATCTACATATACTCCGTGCGAAATCGAATCCCTCTGCACCCGAATAAATTAATTTAACACAAAATACACTAGTCGCACCAAGGAAGGCCCGACTGGACTTTAACCATCGCCTGAAGAATTCACAATGCATTCGCTTCCATCAATTTTGGCTGTAAACTCTCCACCAGAAAGAGGCAAAGCCTTATGGGAGATCAAAAATTCTCCTTTTTCCCGTACTCATGCATTGCTGCTATACAGTTAAGTTTAGCTCAATTATTTATCTTATCATTGAAATAACATGTTTAATGTACCAGAAAGAATTTGCGGTTACAGCAATAGGGGACACAATCAAAACTTTTTCCTTAAATGTTTTACTGGGACGCGAATAAACTCCTTTACTTCCTGTGTCCCAACAGGAACAACACGAAAGGATTACTTGCGGCTGGACAGCAAAGAGTTATGATTACTGGGTTCAATGGACCCAACCATCTCATCATCTTTAGCGTGTTTGCACCAAACAGACAATACTCATTGTGCAGAATTCGAGTCCATGAATTCCGTTGCCCCTTTTAGTCAGCCAGGGTTCCAGGTAATGGTCATCCATAAAACAATCGGCTCAACTTACGACAGAGATAATCTGAAATGGGCGGTTAGCGCTCGTGAAACATATATTGCTGCAAAAGCTCTCCACAGAAGAGCAACGTGAGGCAACGAGTCTGTACATTGAAAGAATACGTGGAGTTTTTGGTTTAATTTAACGAATCAATCGTAACAAAGCGCGAAACGGATTCTATTTACATGGAAAACGTGTCCTACATTGAATAAAACGAGATCCACCGGCTAAACAATATGAATCACCTTTTAAGAGATGCATCGGGTTCTAAGATTATGGATAAAAAACGGGTGTAAGAGTTTAACAATAAAACGAAAGTAAGACATCTGAAGAATAAAATAACGTTTAGGAGCAAGAATAAGCACAAGTTCGGGGTGGGTGGGAAGACCATGTTGAACGAGTATTCGTTGTAAGGCACTGGGAAATGAAAGACCCCGAGGGTGAAGGACACTTCTTGGACTATATGCCTTGGGTTTCAAGTAAATGCCATGGCGGTTATGTGAAGGAAACCGAGTGAATTTGGGTTGAACATGTGACGGCATTGGGTTTGTAGAAGAAAAACACCCAGTGAAGACTAAACTAGAAGGACTCGATCATAACGGAATCTAGACAGGGTCTTGCCGATAAGTCGATGGCAACTTCGTCATTCTCCAAAGACTGACTAGGCTCCGGTTCGGATGTATCTGATGGAGTACGGATAGACGAAAATGAAGGCCTACTGGGATTTGTTTGACGTGGAGTTACCAGGAGTTCCGACTTCATGTCAGTGAAAGGGCTTTGTGAATTAACGTTTTCAGTGAAGCTGGCTGCGTTCGGGTGGAATCCCTGTACAACAGCCTTCATGCACATCTCCAACTGGAGCGGTGTCATCTCCGAAATGTTTGCGCCAAATTGTGGAATCCCATTCCAATAATTGACGATCGAGTTTCTGAACGAGTCCATCCCACTGCGTAGCGGATCTTGTTTAAAGGCACGTGGAGGAGAAAAAGCGCTTTCCTGAGCAAGCTGTGAACCTGATCGTTCACTACTATCGTACGAAGTGGATACTGGATTTCCGGAACGAGTAGATTCCGCAAAGAAGACGCCTTCCTGGAAACACTTTATTGGTGTTGATGCAGAAGAAACCTGATGAGACTGATTCTTAGCGAACAGTGCGTTCATACTATGGCTGTCAGCCTGGTTAGTACCAACGGAGAAGTTTGGCATATTATCTGCATCTGAAACACCGCTCCCGAAGTTTGATTCCGCGTACAAACTGGAAATGTGTTGTGGACTAATCTGATCGGTGACCGTAGTTGCAGTCAGAGCCAGACAATTCTTAACCCTGTGACAACCAGGCTCTGGGTATGTGGAAAGAATACATTTTGCTTGATGTCTGTTCACCGCACTGACGCAGGTAAACTGCTTCCCACAGATGCGACACTGCATCTCCGTAGTTTTCAGATGCATTTGTAAATGTATTATCTTCATATGGTAACGCATGCTGCTTTTAATTTCGTAAACTTTGCCACAGAACTTGCATACATACAGCTTTCGCCCGTTCACCTGTCGTTCACACTCATCGATTAATGAATTAAGTCTGTCTGTGCTGGATAGACGCCATCGGCGGACGTCAGAAGACATCCGTGAACCCAAGGACCATTCACGAGTGGCTGATTCGCCAAGACGTCCATTAAGAAGCTGGGATGGGAATGATCCATTAGACCTAGCAAACTTTTTCGAGAACGGCTGGACGGTACACGGGTCCACTCTGACACGTTTAGTGGGACTGGCGCTGTGTTGTGAAGCATGAATACTGGATGGTAGCAGGTCATCAGATTCTGAGGCCGGCGCTCGAAAATCTTCGGTCGGTAAATCAATTCTTAGCGAATCTTCAACTGAAGGAGACAATACGTTCTGTTCTCGCTCCAGATCACTCTGGTTATGGATCTCGCTGTGTTCGGATGCATTCATTTCAGCTTCTTCGTATGTTCGGCCAAGCCCGTCGGTACGCTTTTCTGATACATCCGCATCCTATAGAAAGAAAAAATAAAAAGTTCTCAAGAGTGTGAGACAAGCTGACAAAAAATTAGACAAGCAAAAGTGCGCCGACTTTTATCCGAAAGCCATCAATTCACTGATGTGAAAGTGTGGTTTAAGGTAAGTACCAGGAAATAAAGAGGTGCCTACCTTCTTGAACCAACCTTCCGGTATATTCCTTTGGGAGTTACTGGGTGTGTCGTTTAAAGACCATCGAACTCATCTAAAATGTGTTTCACGAAGCACGTTTCCATCTCACCATAATTTTCTGCCCATATTTTCTGACCCATTTACCCGGAACAACCCTGGAATTCTGGCGGATCAATCGTTTGTGCGCCTCGTAAACATCTGTCCTTAGTAGATGGACTTCTAAAAACGGCACCTAATTCTATACAACAGCATTAGAGTTTCCCAAATTACGTCAAGTTCAGTTCTAATGTTCAAATGGAATGCAGGTTTATTACCTTCAGAGTTCCTTTCTTTGATTTTAAACACATCCGTCATCTTTTCAAATGTGAATCATCATTCAACTGCTCACACTTTGGTGAGTACCTTCCATAACCACCAAATAAAGCACAAGGACTGAAATCGCCCAAGCCTAGAGAGCAGCAGTCTTGATGCTAGGTTGCCAAACGTAGAAAGCATGAGCAGTGTATTGTAGCCCGAACAGTGGGTTAAAGACTGTTTTCGCATTGTTCTAATGGTTAGGCAGTGATCCAGTCACTGGTAAGCCAACCGATGGGACAGAACAATACCTTGTTGACAGAGTGGCGATCACCACTGTTCATAAATTTTGCGTGACTTTGAACACAGTTTCAACGAACAACTAATATATTGAGTTGCCCGGCAAAATCTGTCAGTCAGAATCAGCAAACTTACGTAAGCAGAATATGTGAACAGGCAATGGCGCTTTGAGTTCAGAAAGTTAATCGTCTGGGATCAAGAAAGCGCAGAATTAACTTCACGGAATGCTGACTGAAAACATCCATCGTCCGACCATAACCTGAATATCTCAGCTGCTCCTGTCCATTTCAGATCAGTCCGGTGACATATCGTTCTTCTGTAAACTCCATATTCCTAATGTGATGTCTAAGGTGAACAAAAACTACCAGTCTCCTTGTGATAGACTTGAATGCGGGCGAGTATCCACCACAATATATACAGCAGCTGCTTGTTAACTACTTTACAAAATTTAACCACTACACAATTAGCGCAGCAGCAGTGAGTTGTCTCACTCTTGTTAGATAAAATTTCAGCGTCACCATCACAACTGGTTAGTAAACTCCAAAGTGATCGCACAGCAGTCGGATAAGCACGTTCGTAAACTCAAAGTCTGCGCGCTTTGAGCCTGACCACAAATGCCTATTGTCTCGCTGTTATAAAAGTTATAGTAGGTTGTTTGTAGACGACACCATATGAAAAGAAACCAAAACAAGACAAACTGCCAGCCAAACTTTCCAACGGTGACGCACTTTGCTCACATGATGGATGTGTGGACTGCAAAATCTGGAATGTATACTACCCATATGCTTTTTGAGTATCCGCTATTTGGTATAGACAACCAAGAATAACGGCGTCGAGACGAACTGTTAAAACGGTTCTGACGAGCACATTGTTTAAAATTCACTTGAGTAAAAAATCTGTGAGATCATCTCAGCGGGCCCTGAACCACTAGAATATTAAAATGATTGATGCGGTATCCAGTAACCACCGTGTTAATTCATGATAGTGTGCTGAGTTCTTCCAATAGACCTGTCCTCAAGAAGAAGGGATGGTTCGGAGTCGGTCTGAATGAAATATATTTCATCAGATTTTACTGGCCGTATACAAATAATATGGATATCCAGATTTTCCTGTTCTTAAGATAGCTATCTACTCGATGCCTTCGATCCAATTGTTATTACTGTTGTCAACACGACCTTGGTACGTTTGCATATTATCCACTGAGTTGTCTCAAGTTCCTGAGCTATCTTTAGCTGGCAGAGTGTAAAGTTTCATTGAAACCCACAAACAGTTAATGAAGTGGTTGGTTCTGTTGACATTCTCCTTATAGCTGAATTGTAGTAAAGGTTAACTCGGCTGTACCTCTCATGCTGGGGAATCCATACAGACCATACAAAATGCCTTCCCCAGGATAACAAAAATTATTCGGCTGAACACGATAAAAAGCAAAATCTTGCATGCTATGCGAGGAAAAACGATTGCGCGTTGTCCTCTATTGAAGCCGATTTCTTTTATTCAAAGGGGATTTTGGTGCACCTCTCAACATTTGAGAAACATCGATATTCTTAAATGTGAATTCTAAGTGTAAAGCATTTTCTACAGTTTTGTTCCTGTCAGTTCTACCAGAAGTCACCTCACTGTCTTCTCACTGTGCATCAACTTACATCTTCTTGACCATGATTAGTGGATGGGTATGCACAACCCTCTTTCATGCCGCCATGCGGTCCAAACTGACAACATCGCATTAGTTACCCGTTTAACACCGAGGTACCAAGGTAATTCGTCAAGTCTTAACCTTCAGTTTAATACCTCGTTCTTCTCGGTACGAAAATACATCAGTGCTCTATAGAACGGTCCATCGGCGTACCGTCAAAAGATAACTGTTCGACATTTCAGCAGCACTCGACAGCTTGGATCCTTTTGAAGCAGCACAGAGAAGCATCGTCTCAAAACTTCAAACCCATTGGAAGGCAGCGGTTCTCTGAGCCTCGTGTCACTTGACCTAAACTGGTGTGATCTAAGATGGAGATGATAGTTGTTCAAACCTGTACGATGGCTGTCATCATTTATAGAGTTTCGGGTGTCTGTGACCGTAATCATTATTATCCGGCCGACCACAGAAAAACAATTTAGAGGCCGTTCTTCTCAAATAGCCTTCCCAGCTGGATTGGTTTTATACGAGACTGACTTCATTTTGAAATTTCCGCTTCTGTTTACACTGAATCTTTACTCCTTCCAAATATATCGCATGAGAATTGCAAGTCAGCTCCGCCAACAACTCGGAAATGTTTGGATAGCATCACGGTTTGGCTGCTATACATTAAAGATGAAACAATGGCCAAATATGTTGCAATGTTGGTGTCTTTTATTATAGATGATTGCGTTCCTCAAGGCGGTTGAATGCCTTGATAGCTCTTGTAGAATGAGTTCGGCTCACTGTCAAGCCTTAGGTATGCAGGTAGTTGACTGCAGAACTAAGAGCCTCGTGCAGTATACTATCTCAAAACAACTCTTTAATAGTTGATGTTTTATTTCGAGTCCCGGTGTAAGCTGATAAAAGTGTTCTGAAAACAATTGTTATTAAGCCGAAGCGAGCTGCCGCTGAAACAAGGGCCGGAATTTCATTTCCGATGGCAGAAATAACACAGTCATCCACGGCACACGACCCTTTGTCTCTCTCAGTACTAGTTTATCAAGGAAATGCTTTGATACGAATGAACAGAAATCAAGCCAGTATTGAATTTGCATACCAGCTTTGTACATTGTGTTCAGGAGCTTGTCGTTAATAATTGATCCTCCCAGTGGGGACAACTCTGCAGGCACACCGTTCTTTCCTGCTGCTCTCCTAATTTATCGCCATCTGTAGTTCCCTAATAGAGGTAAATTAGTCAGCCAGGTTTTTATTTTATGAAGGGGCAGATGAACCACACAGAATAAGTTTGCATCACCTGTCGTGGATAACAATGCAGGAGTGGCTACAGCTCAGATATAGTGACCGGAAGGTCTGTGGTTCGAGCCTGACCTCTGCCTCTCGACTTTCTCTGTCTAGGCTTGGGCAACCTGCCAATATCCCAGCCCTTGCGCTTCCTTCTGGTGGCATGGCATTTAGGCACCGAAAGGGTACTAGAGCCGAACCAACACACACTGGTGCATGTCGAAAATTCAAGTAGGAGAAATCCCTCGGTAAAGAGTGGAATAAAATGGAGTAGAGAACCCTTGTGCGAAACATTAGGACTTCAAGAAAAAGTACCAGAAAGAATTATGCTTATATATATGTACTTACAGAGGAAAAACAACTAAAATTACCAGGTTAGAGTAAGGTCGATATTCTTACACTGATGATCTCAAACGGTGACGTTTGACGGCGTTGTCTCTTCGTACAGTGCACTTGACATCATCACATAAACAACTCGTCTAAAAACCATTTCACGACTAACGAAATGCACTCATTTGCATACCAATTAGGAAACCAAATGAACTCTGCTGTGATATTCTTATGGATAATGTATTAAGTCAGATTCAGGGCTAGTTATGGCCTGACTTCAAGTTTGGTCAACGTTTTACCTACTTACAGTATCCGCTGACAGGAACGCTGCTGTATATTTTACGAATCAATCATGCCTTAAAGATAAAGTTGGCTTTAAACTCACTTATCTTGTTAGCCATGACCCAGTGATAAAATACGCATGAATATATTTTTAATGTATCGTCCTTTCCAAGCGCATGACTCAAGTGCAACTTAGACAACACAAACACTTGTCGTTTGGCCTGCTAATGAACGGTTCATTTCGGCGCGTACCAAGCTTTTGTGCGTTGGTGAAATAACTTATTCCACCGATTAGATGGTGTGGTTAATAATGGTGGTCCACAGGATGGAGAGGCCTTCTGTTGTTAAATTCCCCAAATTTCAGCATAGAAATAACTGGCCTTTACATACTGCACATAATGATGCACCTAGTGAGGACAACTACACAACAGTATCCAAAGCATTTTATCTGAAGTAAATGAAAATGAATTGATGGTAATCCCATAATTCTGAGGCTCAGGCTACTACAATAATCGATTGTCTGCTTTTGACACAACTTAACGAAGTGCGTATGACTAGTGGTAAACGTAAGATGACATGCTTGTATCCATCATCAATTTCGATCCTAAATCCACATGTCTAAGGCTCTGTAACTTTTAGAAGTATACCTGCATGAGTCCCAACTAAAAATTAGTTGCTAAGCTCACCGTAAATTTGGAGTATAACTGACAGGTGCGTAAAACAC